GCAATCAGTTGAAACAACTCCCAATTACGGTAATAACTCATATGAATGATCATAATCTAGTTTCAATTTAAGACACATAATTAATAACATTTAAAATTTTATTGTTTAAAAAACTTTAAAGAAATACAATACAAAGAAATAAATTGATTATTGAAGAAGGAAAAGTATGATCGATTCTTTTCGGCTATCGTAAAACATTACTTATTGATTATATATATATATAGTGAATCTAAAGAAGTTTTTATATATAATAAATTTTTTGATTGTTCCTGTTCTCTATCATCTAAGTGACATCAGTTTTGAACAGTAACAATAATTTTCTTGTAAAAAATGTTAATTTTTTAGTCGAAATCACGTACGTAGATATATGATATTGATGAAGAGAATGCTTTAGCCTGTTATTTACAACGCTTTCGAAATCCAGCGTACAGTTATGAAAATTAGATCTATTCGCTTGAAATCTTCACCATTCTAAAAATTCTTTCCTTCCATCGTGGCAATTTCATTCTGGAAGTCTTTCTTCATATATTGAGTGTTTCACATTAAACGAACTGATAAGATCTTTAGTAATAGAGTCACATCAAAAGAATATGATTTTGCATATACTAAGAACGATCTGATTTGCACCTGTTAGTAAAATAGTTTGATAGTGAAGTGAAATATCAAATACATACATTATTAGAAAGATTGTTCTTCGCTTGTCGTAAAGTCCAATCGATAAGACAAGTTTTAAAAAATGCCACATTGACACGAAGACTTGTTACAATACTCCGGTGTGCTACCTTATCAAATTATTGTTTTCTCTTAAACAAATTGGTTTCATAAGTCGAATCATTCATTACGGTTGAAGACATCATCTGCAACTGAAACAGCAATGAATATAAGTAGATAAAGGAATGAGCTAATATATGTCCATTCTTTCTTTTCTTCTTATATGATAAATCAAGGTCAATAATGTAGACAAAGATGAACCCGTTCTCTATCATTAATCCAAGTACAGATGAAGAAATTTGTCAAGTAGAAGAAGGCACAAAAGTACCAATATATACATGATGATTTTCGTTCTACGTGTAATTTTTATTGTTTTCAATATTGTAGAGTGATCCTGATAAAGTAATTGAAGCTGCTGAAAAAGGTTTCCAATATGATTCACCATGGCGTAAGTTAGATCCTGCTGCACATGCTCAGTTAATTCATAAACTTGCTGATTTACTTCTACGTGTTGTGGATTATTTAGCAGTAAAAATGTTCACTCTGTTTGTTTGCATCTACATCATAAATGAATATTCAGAAATTAGAAACACTGAGTAGTGAAAAACTGCTACAAGAGAGTTATTGCGAAATTCTTGGAACAGCTGTTTGTCTTGATTATCGAAAGCCTCTCTGACATTCTCTTTTTTTTATTATCAATGATATTCACATGTTACAGATGCTGGATGGGCTGATAAAATCACTGGTGAAACACTTCCATCAGAATCAGGTATTTTTATTACCTATATTAGACATGAATCAGTTGGGATCTGTGGACAAATCATTTCATGGTCAGTTCAAACATTCAATAAATGAACATTCAAATTGTACTTCCTTCTTTCAGTGATTATTCAGTACGATATTCTTTCTTACATATGCATCATACAAAAGTATTGTTGCCATTATATTTTAGACTGTTATGTTGGCCTTGAAATTTGGATCAGCATTAGTTTGTGGTAACTTCATTACTTCTATTAATTTACACTTTCTTATATATTGTAATAACAAATAGTCGATGTAGTTATTCTCAAACCAGCTAAACAAACACCACTTACTGCAGTCTTTTGTGCTTCTGTCATCAAGGAAGTATTATTCATCATCTATCAACAGTCGAAATTTATTCGAACACTAATTCAATATTCTAGGCTGGTTTTCCACCAGGTATTATTAATAGTGTATTAGGTAATACACATCACCAGAATGAAAGCAACTCTTATAACGATATACATATGTAAGTCATGGACCTAACTGTGGTCATTCATGAAAATATTAATAAAATAGCTTTTACAGGTTCATTCTAGGCAAGATTAGTGCAGATGAAAAACAGAATAATAAAAGCACATGATATTTTGTTTTAGGCTGGGAAAAAGATTCAAGAAACTGCAGGAAAAACTAATCTAAAGCGTGTTTCACTAGAACTTAGGTAGTAAAACCATCTTTCTTACCTGTCTGCTTTGTTGTCTTTTTCATCACATATAGGTGGTAAATCACTATTAATCATTTGTGAAGATATTGATCGTATGTATTAAATAATTCTATTACTTCCACTTTCATTATGTTTCCTAATGACGAAAAAGATTTATAAGCGATAGAATTAATTTGTTTTTGCATGTTTTAGTCGATGTTCCTGCTCGAACTGCTCATAGAGCAGTTTTCACTCATGCAGGTCAAGTATGTTTTGCTGCATCAAGAATATTTGTTCATTCCACACTTCACGATGCCTTTGTATCTAAAAGTGTCGAATTAGCAAAGAAACGTATTGTTGGTGATCCATTTGATTCTACAACTGAACAAGGACCATAAGTATAGGAAAGCATCTCAAGTAAAGTGTCAAAATCTAAACTATGGAAAAAACATACTGATTGTGGACTCAGAAAATAATTTGACAAGACAACAGATTAGCATTGATTTCTTTTGTGTATTCAACAAAACAGCAATACTCAATTAGAAACAATTCTTGAATGTATTCGATCGGGTAAAAAAGTTGGTGATAAAGATTATTTTATTCGACCTACTATTTTTACTAATGTAAAAGATGATATGAAAGTAGCTCGTGAAGAAGTTTGTCTTTTTTTCTCTTTTCTTCATTTCATTGAAATCGTTTTCTTCTATTTTGAATATCTCTTGGTGTCAACTTATTTTTCCATTAGCCGATCCATCGGATATATACAGCAACAGCATCGAAATTCTTATCTACATTGGAATCGGAATCATTGGTTGAATAATACAAATAGTTTAGGTTCGATGTAAGAAACTTAGATACAATACCATACTTCTCTAACTTCTGACGGTGCTTGACTGCAAACGTAGATCTCTCTACTAAGACATTGAACCTCATATGGTATGAAGTGAAACTTAAGACAAAAAAAACAGACCATGCAAGTTGTACGCTACAGTCTATTCAAATGATTACCTTTTTATTTGTTTTTCTAATTTACTTTATGAGTATTAGCAGAGGGTCTACTAGAATACCAGACAACATGGCTGGAGTAAAATTTTTGATTTTTGATTTAATTATCTTAAAATAAAGGTCGCATATAGGTATTACTAAATCCGAAATATTAACGCGATCTGATAATGATTCATTGAATTATGATGTATATCGTGGTAACAGGCCTTAAAGAGTTCTAATGCAAAATGATAATTTTTATTTTTGGTACTTTTTAATACATTGTAAAACTAAAGCGTTATTCTACGAATTAATATAGTGTTGACTTTTGTCAAAAGGAAGAGCATCTCATTTTCTGTCGACTTCACACAAGCATCATTTTATAGGAAAAAAGGATTAATACGATGATTTTTTAATAAAGAAATGTATGGTTTTTCCTACCATGTTTTTTCATGCTTTTTTGCGTTTTTTAAAAGTATTTTGACCTTTGAATTAAAAAATGGGGCTCCTCAGGAATTTTATGATATCAGAAGATAGCCCGTAAGAAACTCCATCTTCTATGTGAAAATATCTAAGAAAAATCATAGCTGGCTCAATCAACTTTTTTCAACAAAGTTCATCACGACGCATTTTTTATGCTGACTATAACATGTTTTCATTGTTTCTGCATGTTAATCATTTTTCATTCACGATTTAATCTATAAGTTCATTCAATAAGCATAACTACATCGAGTAGAATGTCAGAGCCACATTTCTAATGATACTCCTATATATATAAATGTGGTCGGTTAAGTGAGCCTCACAATGCGTAAATTCTAAATTCCGCGCTCACTTCACGCCAGTCCATTTTTATACTTAACAGCACATAGTAGGATTCCATCAATTGCAGCCATAGGCTATGAGCGCATTATGTGACTGTAAGTTAGTTAATTAATTACTACCCAACTAATTAGAATTAATTAGAGAGAGTACATTGGGGTCATCCTAAGTTGTCATGGTCTTTTAGGCGTTGTCTAAAGAATTGGTAAGAATCTCACTTATACACCATATATTAGCTGATCTTGAATGCGTTAGGAAATATTAGGTTCATGAGTAATGTAAGAAACGTGTACTAGAGTTTTGCTTTAGCAAGTAAGAGTTAGCTTTTTTGTTAGCTGAAGGTAATTGAGTCGCGTGATAGAGTGCCTTCGATACACAAGTAGTATATGCGGCGGAGAAAATGTTCGGAAATTTGGGTAAGCCTTGAGCTCTTGTGTAGTTAAAGACCAATTGATCATTAGGTGTGCAACAGACCCGGCTCATGCGAACAAAGCTGGCTGACTAGTTCTAGCTTAGCGAACTGAGCTGAATCTATGATACACCTACTTACGGTTGCCGCTGCAGGATAGAGCTTAAGGATATAAGGATACTTATATATAATAGTCCTTGAGTACCTGTAGCACAGTGGGGAGTTTTCGCATAAGCAGGCGAACATACAATTTTTTTGCTCAGAAATAACCATATATCATTCAGAGAATCGTCTTTAAGAAAACAGAAAGTTTTTAAGAAAAAAATTTACGAAAAAATCTGCCTGGGGAGTAGTGCCTCAGCCATTATTTTTCGAAAACAAATTGTTTTGAAAAATATGTTGAGCTACATATCATTGGAAGTAGTGTAATGCGTTCATTCCGAATATCACCATAGTTTTTTTTCAAAGAGTAAGATCAGTACCAAAAATCGGATTTCCTACCAGAAATCTCGGGCTTTTGGACATCCTGTAAAATAGCTTAGGAAAGGTTTCATAAGTTTGCGCCACTATCATAAGTAGGTTACATATGTAAGAACGTCTGGTAAGAATGCGCGCTCAATTCGACGTTTTCTCTTTGTAGTACTTACAATATATGGAACGATATGTTTTCAGATAGGCTTTGGATCTCGAGATCCTTTGTCTTCTACTCTACTTTAAATTAAATTTGAATCACTTTTTTTTAAACATAAGGTCTACCCATGAGGAAGCTTTTTGTGATATTGCTTGCTTGTACAATATTGTTTCATATTGCCTAGCAGCTTGATTTTCTTTATTTATGCTGATTTCTGAGGCGCAAGCCTTGGCGAGCTCTTTACTTAGGCTTTATAAAACTTTGAGAACCACTATTTTAGGAAATGATAGATCACATATGCATGTATCTACGCAAATCATTAGATTCTAGAAAAGAATATTTTCGCACATATCCGCCTGGCTCTCCACTGTAACAGCCATCAACGCTTGCTGATTCAGCGTTACTTCACCTATGTATTGACTTTGTGTTGCTCTACTTGTAAGTTGGATAAAACCCACTGATGAAAGCTAACAAAGTGCTCCATTCTTCATTTTCTTATCAAATATTTATTATGCAAGTGAAGACTGCTATTCAAGTGTGTTGTGTGCAAAGTCATCGACTTTCCGCGAAAGAAGAATAAAAGCATGTGCGCCAACCAACTTTTTTCTCTCTTTCTGCGATTAATTCCTGCGACACAAACGACATACTGTATCATTGTTAAAAAACAAAACAAGAATTCATGGTGTCTTGTCGAGCCTGTCTGAATACATAATATATTCATTGTAGACTTCTTAACTAATTGGTGATCAAACAACACAAAAATAAAACTTTTGAAAAGTTCATTTCTCAAACCGATGCGAATCTTTGCGAAGAGCTCGTAATGGTACAAGACTCTCATGGAAAAGTCTTCAACTAATCCATGCCGTTTTTGTTGATATTTTGCCTATATGTAGGGTTCGATGAGATTAGAAAAAAACTTAAAAGGATAACAGCCCATAGGCTTTCCTTCTCAAGTTATGATCATTTTACTAGGTTTACCACCTAGGACAAGGGATTCAGCAAAAAATCAAATTGAGAAATTTCGATCTGAGATTTTGTCCACATGCAAGCCTTATGGCCTATATATTAGCCTAAAAGTTCCAGTCAAAACAAACGTCTCTTTCTCGAAATATTGCGTTATCAAGAAAACATTGCCATGCTACATACATGTCAGGAAAATCGACTTCTATAGAAAAATCAATATTTTACGACAGAAGCATTTGTTTTGACTGCAACCTTAAGCCTAATATATAGGTCATACGACCTGCATGTGCATGAAAGCTGATTTTTCACTGAATCCCTTGTCATAGGTGATAAACCAAGTAAAATGAGGGTGTGGATGTGACTGGAGTGTGGTTGTCGGTGAACATGGGCGTGCTTGCCGAAGAGAAGACTCACACTCACACCCACACCCTCATCGCATAGTATACATACTGGCTGTTTATAACTAGCGAACTATTGTTTTATACTATACGATGACATCATTATACATTCTTTTCTTTTTATCTTCGATCTAAACGAGATAGATCGAAAATAACTTGCAAATGTGAGTTCTGTCATTTTCGATAGTCTTTCTTGTCTGATATTGTCAATTACAAAACATTTTCGCTGCTGTTAAAACAAAAAAAGTTTTATATTTCAATATTAAGTCGTTCATTTACTTATATATATTATATTTCAAAATAACTGTGGCAGCATATGTGGACGCATTTCGATACTAAGTAAAGGATTATTTTCAATGTATCTTGAATAGATCGAAGATAAAAAGAAAAAGAATATACAATGATGTCATCGTATAGTAAAAAAAAACAATAGTTTGCTAGTTATAAACAGCCTATATGTATACTAAACGAAGAACGAAAAACATTCAATAGTCGTGTTGTATGTATCACTATGTAACAGTGTCGACGTAATTGCACAATATCAGTTGGTTCCATCATAAAGATAGTCTATAGAGAATTTACTTTTGCAGTTTTTCTGCAAAGTAAATTCTGTCATTTTCGATAGTCTTTCTTAGCTGATATTGTCAGTTACAAAACATTTTCGCTGCTGTTAAAATAAAAAAGTCTTATATTTCAATATTAAATCGTTCATTTACTTATATATATTATATTTCATATTTGACGTCGTAGAATAATCTAGAAAAAAAACATCCAATATCGAATGTATAAATAGAAAACAGTGGTCTCTATCCAAACAACAATTGATCCTTCACAATATTCAATCGTCGAACAAACGTCAAAAACAACATCGAAAATGAGTAGACAACAACGACCACGAATGGCTGAAAATTATCTGGTCATCTGGGTCGATGGTACTATTGACATGGCAAATGAAGATTGCCAGAATACAGTCGCGCAATTGCGCGGCGTTGTTAATGAAGTTAATCCGTGCACCACGGCCGACCAATGTATCCAGAAGCTCCAGGAAAACAATGAGGAGACATCATTTGTCATCTCCTCAGGTGCATTAGGACAACACCTGGTACCAGAAATTCATGGCATGCCAAAACTGGATGCCATATACATCTTTTGTGGCAACAAGCAACGTCACCAAGAATGGGCTAAGAATTGGCCCAAAATTAAAGGTGTGCATACATCAATCAATCACATTTGTGAAAAACTGGCAGTAGCTGTCAAACAATGCAATCAAGATCAAGTAACGGTCAGTATTATCGGTGTCCATGAAGGAGGTTCTAGCGAAGATGTCAATCAGCTAGAACCTTCTTTTATGTATACCCAAATATTCAAGGAAATACTCCTTGATATGGAACATGACCAAGAAGCCATTAAAGACTTCGTTACATATTGCCAAGAACAATACAAAGGCAATACAAAAGGACTCGAGTTAATCAATGAATTTCAAAGTACTTATCATCCAACGCTGGCATTATGGTGGTATACACGCCAATGCTTCACGTTCAACATGCTCAATCGAGCATTAAGAACATTGGATGGCGACATTATCATCCGAATGGGATTTTTTCTGTGTGATGTTCATCGACAAATTGAAGAATTACACAACCAACAGGTCAGTCAATATCGTGGAAAGCCCTTTATAATTTATAGGGGCCAAGGATTATCGACAGGTGACTTCGAAAAACTTGCAAAGAATAAAGGTGGTCTCATATCTTTCAACAACTTTTTATCCACTAGCACAGATCGTGATGTCTCCTTCGCTTTTGCTGAAGGCACCTTAGAAGCAACCAATATGGTTGGTATCCTCTTTCAAATGACCATCGATCCCACAGTCTCATCGACTCCTTTTGCCTCCATCCAGGAGGTGAGTTATTTCAAGGACGAAGAGGAAATTCTCTTCTCGATGCACACCGTCTTTCGAATTGGTGAAGTTCGAAAACTTGACAAGAAAAGTCCACTTTACCAAGTGGACCTTAAACTTACGTCGAATGATGACCAACAACTGCATCAATTAACCGACTGTATACGAGAAGAATCTTCAGGTAGCACTGGATGGTATCGAATGGGTCCATTGCTGCTCAAAATTGGTCAATTTGACAAGGCCGAAGAATTATACATGGCATTACTAGAACAGGCATTTGACGACATTGATAAAGCATATATCTATCACCAGCTCGGATGGGTGAAAAAAGATCAAGGACAGTACAAAGAAGCAGTTTCATTTTATGAAATGTCTCTCAAAATTAAACGAAAAACTCTACCGCAAGATCATCTTTCATTGGGTCCTACCTACAACAACATCGGTGGAGTGTATAAGAACATGGGTGACTACTCGAAAGCACTTGAATTTTACGAAAAATCACATCAAATAAAAGAAAAAGCTCTACCTCCAAATCATCCCGAATTAGCTATTTCCTACAGCAACATCGGTAAAGTGTATAACAACATGGGCGACTACTCGAAAGCATTTGAATTTTACGAAAAATCACATCAAATCTACGAAAAAGCTCTGCCTTCGAATCATCCCTCATTGGCTGCTTCCTACAACAACATTAGTACTACATATTTCGGCAAAGGAGACTACTCGAAAGCACTTGAATTTTACGAAAAAGCACATCAAATCTACGAAAAAGCTCTGCCTTCGAATCATCCCGATTTGGCTACTTCCTACAACAACATCGGTGGAGTGTATAAGAACATGGGTGACTACTCGAAAGCACTTGAATTTTACGAAAAAGCACATAAAATAAGAGAAAAAGCTCTGCCTCCTAATCATCCCCATTTGGCTATTTCCTACAACAACATCGGTCAAGTGTATAACGACATGGGTGACTACTCGAAAGCACTTGAATTTTACGAAAAATCACATAAAATCCTCGAAAAAGCTCTGCTTCCGAATCATCGCTCATTGCCTACTTCGTACAACAACATCGGTGGAGTGTATAACAACATGGGTGACTACTCGAAAGCACTTGAATATTACGAAAAATCACATAAAATAAAAGAAAAAGTTCTACCTTCGAATCATCCCGATTTGGCTATATCCTATAACAACATTGGTCTAGTGTATAGCAACATGGGTGACTACTCGAAAGCACTTGAATTTTACGAAAAATCACATAAAATCCTGGAAAAAGCTCTGACTCGGAATCACCCTCATTTGGCTATTAGTTACTTGAATTTTGCAGCGTGTTACGAACGAATGGGTGATTACGCAGCAGCTCTTAAGGCTCTTCAAAGTGCTTTTCAAATTCAACAACAAGCATTTCAAGAAGGTAATCCAGCTTTTGCTTCAACATATAGTAGGTTAGGAAGAATTTATCGCAGTATGAAAGATTATCCAAAAGCACTTGATAATTTCGAAAAATGTCTCACAATAGTTCAAAAAACGTTACCTGAAAGACATCCCAATCGAGCTATTACATATAGTAATATAGGTGATGCTCATCGATTAATGGGTAATTATGAAAAAGCACTTGCATTTCATCAAAAAGCATTAAATATTCAAGAAAATGTTCAATGTAATCCTCTGGAATGTGCAAAGACATATATAAATTTAGGTGAAACTTATCGTAAAATGAAAGAGTATTCAACAGCATTGACATATTTCGAAAAAGGATTAGAAATACGTGAGAAGAAATTATCAAAAAATCATCCTGATTTAGCTGTTGTATATCATAATATGGCAAAAGTATATTTGGCTACACGAAAATATAGTATGGCAATAAAAAATATTCAACAAGCAGTTGAAATAGCTCAAGAAAAATTACCTTCAACTCATCCTCATCTTTTGGAATATAATGAAACATTTGAAAGAATTCGAAAGAAAATGTAATCAATTTGTTTTTGTTTGCTTGCTCAATAAATTGGTTTTGATTCTTTTTCACTTCCCAACTTTTCTAGGCTCACTTTAACGCGTACGCGCGCGCGCGCGACCAGGGAGAGGCTCTATGCGTATGAAACGGGTACACACAGAGCGGACCACGCCGGACTGGTAGGGCAATGTACATAGGTGTACCGTACATAATGACGGCAGGGACCTAGGTACATTAAAGGTCTTCCCGAGCACTACACTGCTTTCGCCATTCCATGACGAATAGAATCTCTCTCTGGATCAGGTTACGAAGCCACCTGACAAGGCTGTGATATAAATTGGTATCTATCTTCTAGCATAAATAACATAGACTTAACATAATAATAATAGTATACACTAAATGTGTACAACAACGAAGAAAAAAACTATTTCATCCGAAATAAATCATCTATATCTTATTCTAACATTATCTCAATGTAAGTATTGTTATGAAAATTTAATTTAGAATTGTTCTTTCAACTATTAATTTATTTGTTCAAGTCTTTCTCAAGATAAATAAGATAATTTTTGAAGCAACATACCCAATCTTTTATTGGTATAAATCAATAATAAATCATATTCTTTTTTAACATTCTCATGGTTTTTATAATTTCATATAATTCATAAAAAAAAAGCAGATGAATTCTAAAAAACATCATAGAATAAATTTCTATCATAAATCAATATATCCTAACATATATTATCATTGAAATCAAAAATATTGTAAAAAAATATGAATCATAATATAACATCATTGAATGAATGAATCAATCAATCAATTTCATTATAAATTAATGCATTGTAAAGCAATGAATTTAAATAACATCATTCAATAAATTTCATTCTAAAATCAAAGATTTTAATATAATATTATTCAATAAATATCATTGTAAGTAATGAATTTAACAACATATAATAAATTCCATAGTAAATTAATATATTTTTATATAATATCATTCGATAAATATTATGGTAAATTCATGCATTTTAACATAATATTATACAATAAATTTCATTGTAATTTAATATAACATAAAGCATCATAAACTTACATATTTCATTTTGAAATAATGTATCTTTATATAATATCATTCAATGAATAATATCGTAAATTAATGAATTTTAACAAAACATCATACGATAAATCTCATTGTAATTTAATACATTTTTATGCAATATCATTCAATGAATATTATGGTAAACCAATGCATTTTTACGTAACATCATATAATAAATTTCACTACAAAATTGATACATTTTAATGCGTCGTAAATTGTATACATTTCATTGTAAAATAATGCATTTTTAATAAAATAATAAATTATGGAATTTTTAATTTGAAAATAATCTAATG